GGTTTCTTTCTTTCTTTTTTTCCTCTTTAAGTGAAAGTTGTAGATTTAATATAAGACCACAGTAAAAAGTCTGACATTTCTACTTTGTGAATCTGGGCCAAAGCTGAGATTTGATTTTGAAATAGGAAAGTAAACTGCACCTCAATTTGAGTCTCTAGGATGTATATTTATATATAACCTTTAAAGTTCTCCTAACTTTTAACCCTGGAGAAAGGAAGAAATTACAGTCATCTTACTTATGGCCAGAAGTTACAGTGACACTCCTTGTAGGTTAATGGAAAACTGACACTTTTTTGCCCAGGCTTCCAGCAGTTTCCACCACCGATGTGAACCCTCATACCCAGGAACATAGCTATAGGTCTTACATGTTAAACTGAGTGCTTTTGTGGCGCAAGCTCAATTACAAATCACTTTAAAAAACATTTCTTCATGGTATTTTTAAGTGTACTATTTGTTTTTAAATGCCGTCCTTTCACAGTCCAAAGCTGCTTCTTAAGGTTGTTATTGTTCATGCAAACCCATTTCATTTCTTTGAGAATGACTTTTCAGTGTTTTTCTGTTTGTACTGTTGCCACTCAAGCTAGCATGTGACTTACTTTCCATGTGCTCACACACGGCCACAATCCACCCACCCTCCCTCTTTCTGCCCTCAACTCACTGTGTATTTAAATCAGAAATACATGCTGCCAATTTTAGAAGGATCAAAAGTTTACATCTGACTCCCTTATTGAGGATGAAGAAATTGTGGAATGGTGGAGAGGGTCACAAATCAAGATACAAATCTGTGACCCCCTAGACTAATATTTTATCCCTTCTTGCAGTGAGTGGAGGGACCCAAAAAGGTTGCAGAGAGGTGGTTATAGCTCTCACTGTGGTGACTGACAGATGGTCCAATGGACAGGCAGTTTCTTTCAAGTAGCTTGGTAGAGGGCCTGTCATCATTTTACAATTGAGTCATCCCTCTACCATACTCCCCATACAGACCAAGGGTTAAGAACCTGCTGAAATACACAGACAATAGGCAAGAGAACTTCTTGTTCATATACACATAAGATGGTAGAAATTGAGACATGAACTTGAGAACAAGGCCCTGAAAGAAGACCAGAAACATGGTAAAGGTGACAGAGTTGGAAAACGATCACAAAGGCATTAGAGTTAATGAGGCTGATTGCTGCGTTGGAGACTGGGGTAACAATGTACAAAACACAAATTATGGACACTACCTTCTGATATTCCTCAAATGCACTGGCATTCTGAATGTGAAGATGGGGGTGTTGGAACTTGAAGACAGAAAAGACTGCCTAGCTTTTTATTTATCTATTGCTGTCCTCCAACTCACATTTTGGATATGGTTGTTCTCTCTCTTAAAATGTGATATTTTCCTACTTGCCTCTTATGAGTTGTAGAATTCAATGAGACCTCATTTTGGTAGAGCTTTGTAACTTAAAAGTCTGTAAAGATACTGTTCATTACTATTTATCTTGGTTATAGTTAAGAACTAGGGAGTTAACAGAGTCAAAATATTATGGAGTAAATTTAATATTCATGAATTCACTAATTCATTGCCCATTTATTGACCATGTAATGTCCTCATGCCATGTAACCTCTGGGTGAACACAATGCCTACCTTTAAAGAGCACCAGTCTATGGGAAAGAGATATGAAAATAATGATAATATTAACATGAGATTTGTTGGGGTAGAAAGAAGTACAAGCACCTGTGGAAGCTCAGAAGAAGGACACAAACCAACTTTTGTAGGTGGCATCAAGAATTCATAAGAGATGATTCCTGGATGAGCAGAATATAGGAAGTATGGGGTAGTGTTTTAGGCAAAGGAAGCCACATGAACAATGGTATGGGATAGAAGAAGAAGGGCTGGATGAGAGGGCTTGGGAGTCCCCTCTAAATGGTGAGAGTGTGAGAGACACATTTATGAAGACCTAAATATGTATGTGACTTGTGTACTAAACTGGCCCAAGGCCTAGTGATGAATGAAGATTTCCAAATGTTTACTTTCCTCCAGCCTCTCCTGTTCTATATATGAATACCATGACCCTTAACCATTTCACGTTCAGGGTTTGCTTCTGACTGTCTCCCCACCGGCAACTTCTCTATCTTATGAACAAGAAGTCCTTGAAATTCCCCCTTGGGATCCAGAGCTGGGCTTTGGGAATAAAGTTCAGATTTCCTGATTCACAGCACATGGTTCTTTCCTTTCCACTATTTTGCTTCACTATTCCATCATAACAGTTGAAGGAGAAACACGCTGGTCCTTAGAATGCATCTGAGGAGCTAAGAAGACTCCTAAGCTTAGACATCACAACACCCCCCCAATGTCTGCTTATGGCAGGTTATTCATAATGTTTAGTGACAAAATGAGAAAAATCTACATTATAAAACCTCAAAACTGGAGATGACTTTGAAGACCTCTTCCTACATGTGCTTTCCTCTGCTTGGCACCCTTTCTCTCCCCACACAATCCCTCTACATGGCCAAAAACAGAGCTGAGGCTTGATGGTAGGCAAGGGGAGCTGTTCTTCCTGTGGAGAGACACCTTTATTGTCACTTCACAAAGCCTGAGACTGAAGCCTGATTTCTCACTAAAGGACTCTTAGCTTGTTTCCCAGTAATGGCCCATGAGACTGGGTTCTAGTAGTTTGTTTGGAAGGACAGTTGAACAAACTCCAGCAGGGAATTGGGGAAATAAGACAGAAAGGGAAATGAGCTACGTAGGGAATGTTAATGGGCATATCAATGCTGTGGACATCTGGGTCTTATTCCTCTGAGAACCTCTGTAAGATGGTTTAGAACAAGCCTCTGAGTTCTCTCACTTGAGGAAAAGGAATCAGCAATGCTATCCACCAACCCTATTAACCATTGGTTTAGGGCTGCACCAAAGTGTGTTAACTCCCAGCACTTACAACCTGTTCATTGCAGAAGGCTGAGCATCCTTCAACAGTCAGAGAAAGGCCTCTGCAGAGAGTTGCAAGGTTTGCAGCAGGAAGTGATGGCAAATAGGACTGGTGAGTGCCTAAGGGATATATGCAGGGTACTGATAGACTTAGCTCCAGTGGCCAAATGCCCATTATCTCCTGTTCCTGGCCAGTAAATCTCACAGCTCTGCCTTAGAGAGGAGAGGCTGAAGCAAAACGTAACTTATGAGAAATTAGGTACATAGGATTGGTATTTGCAAATTAGTGAGTGATATTCCCATTTTATGGTGACCCAGTATTAATTTTTTGCCTTAACACTTTTGCACATGTTGTCCCCCTACCTTGTTTGACTTAGAGGAAACGCCCCTCCATCCTCCAAAATGAAGCTCTGGTATTCACTTTTCTGTTGTGCCTTTTTCTGATTCCCCCGGTAGCATTAATTGCTTCTGCTCTTTGTTCTTATGCATGCTGTGCAAGCTCTAAAATAGCATTACTCTGTAGTATTAGGCCTCCCTATGAGTGCATCTCACCTGCTGCTGATGGCAGGAGTAATAGTTGATGTGTATTAAGTGCTTTAGTTATGTGCCAGGCAGCATTTTGAATACTTTCTATTTGAATTAACTAATCTAATCCTCACAATGAACCTAATAAATAGCTTCAATTATGATCTCCAATTTGTGGATAAGAAAACTAGGACAGAGCAATTGAGCAACTTTCTCAATGTCATGTAGTTAGCAAGTAGCAGAGCTAAGATTTGGTTCAGAAAGTCAGTCTTCTAGCTCTGTCCTAACCACTGTATAGAATAGCCTCTCTGTGTAAGCAGAGCAGGCAGGGAGCTGGGAGAAGGAGGGGCATTCTTACCTTTTCTTTGTCATTGGGCAGGGACTGCCATCTCATTCTAGATATTAATATATTCTAGTTCTTTCCAATCCCTCTTGAAGAGACTCCTCCCCACCAAACAACTCCCCAAATCTCTTCCTGGTCAGCCATAGCACAAAGTCCATAAGACCTAGAAGAATTTATTAATTCAATAAGCATTTATTGGTACTTGTTATTTCTGGGTACAAAGTCACTTTGTACCCAGAAATATTTGTTGGTCCCTGCCCCTTGAAGTATACCATCTAGGACAGAGACAACATTACTGAATGGGACCCTGACCTAGTTTGGGGCATTAGGGCAGCTTGCTGGAGACAGTCACTTAAATGGGTCATGGTGTATTCCAAAGCAAATGGATTCATTGCAGGCAAAGAGGGAGGGGCAAAGGCCCTTCTGCATTAGCTCCTGGGCTTTCTGTGCTTCCCTCTGCAGGGCTTCTCTTAAGCACAGAATAGCACATCTTGATTCCTCATGCTTACAAGTCATGTCTCTCCAACTGGACTCTAAGCTTTTGAGGCCATGGAGATTTTGTGTAGGTTTGGGTTTGAGAATAGGAAGAAGTAGGATTTAAATAGTGCCAAGGATAGTGTCTGGTCCAGGAGCTCACTGTCCCAAATTCCTTCTGTCATCACTTAAGTTTCACACTTGGCTGTTTACCTTTTTGGATCTGACAGTCAGGATTGTGGAGTTGCCAATGGATTGGTAGATTCATGATACAATAGATTATTGGGGTTGAGATTAGATAACAGAGGCAGGGCATCTGAAGGGAAAGAGAATAAGGGAAATGGAGGAGCAAAGATGTACTCAGTTTTATAAAATTTTACTACTCCTTATATCTTATACTCTTCTAACCTGAAGACACACACACAGAGCAAGGATTCTTGAGTTAATTCATCAGGAAGATAGAAACAGTGTTTCCGAGGTAGGAATGTAAGGAAGTATAGAAAGAGAGTTGGCATTGAGAGACCCAGTGTGAATCCTACTGTGTGGCCCTAGAGAAAACCCACTCTCTCTGGACCTCCATTTCTCCACTGGACACGTGTGTTGGATTAGATAGTATTCAGGTGCTCTGGCACTCTAGGCCTCTGTAGTCTCCAGTTTGGACAGCAGGATAAACGATGAGCCTGTTTTTGTGGCTATATGGCCCTGGGCTGTGTTTAATCTGCCTTGGCTGAAACCAGGTTTATGGAGTCAAGCAAAATAACCCCAGAGGAAGATGTTGATGGCGAGCAAGAGGATGGCATTGATGTTGCAGACACTTCTCCAGATAGGTTCCTCCTTGATGCTGGTCAGCTTCTTTTCTAGTGCAGCCTTCTCTGCAGGGCTCAGGGCCTGCTGTGGGGACTCGGAGAGCCCACATAACCATCCCCAGAGCAGCTGCACCCAGGACCTGCGTGGGACTAGGAGACAAAGCCAGAATGGGAAGAAGAAGGAGAGTGGGGGGGTTGGATAAGAAAGGAGAAAGGAAAGATTGGAGAAGGGATAAGAAAGAGCGAGGGGAGATGGTGAGAAGCTGAATAAAGGGGTGGGAACACAGGAAAGTGGGAGGATTTTTGCAAACCACAGGCTGGGTGCTAAAGTGGAACTAGACTGAGCTCTGACTATGGCCACAGCATTAAAACACAGCACAGTGAAAGCATCTTGTTGCAGGTGGATAGTGAGTTAAGGAGGGAGGCCAATGCACTTCATTGCAATTCAGAGCACAAACCCAGAATGAGGACAGAGAGAAAGAGCATTATCTCACCCAGGAAGAAGGAAAGCATTTGAACCAGACAAACTATTGCCCCTGCTAAGGAGCCAGGCTCTGAGCTGGAGACCAGGAAGTTGGCTCCAGGGCCAGACAAGCCTTCAGCAGAGTGACACCATATGTAAATCACTCAGCAACTCCCTTGGCAGGTGCTTTCTCCCTAAGGGCTTCAGTGACAAACATCCTGTGTTTCTAATGAATAGAGGCTGGACAGCCCTGTAAAAATTACCAGTGCTGCACAGAAAGAGGTTCTGGTGAACAGGACATTCTAAATAAACTCAAGTCTGGACCAATCCAGGCAGTGGTCCTCCGTATGGGGAAAGGGTGCTCTTTGAGGGTGAAAGAAGCACAATTCACACACAAAAAAACTAAGCTTAAGAAAGTGATAAAGTGAACCTTTACAATTTTTAAAGTTAGCAGGTAGCATAATAAAAATAAAATTAATGTAAGAAGTCTGTCAAGGAGACTGAAAGGAACACACTAGGAGTGAGTGGTACCTGGTGTATGCAGTGCAACAATAGAGCCATCTGGCCTGGCTCCCCCATTGCAGAAGAGGAAAAAGTCTAAGAGAAGGGAGAGACATGTTCAAGATCATATAGCTGCAGAGCTCTCATTACCTAAGTAGTTATTAAGTAGAATGTAAAGCAAAATGCAACTGGGCAACTGATAAGACCAGGGAGGGTGACTGGTCTTTGGTGGTGTTTTCTTAAGTGAGTCCAGGTGTGTGAGAGACCATGGAAGCTTGTGAGGGACAGCATCAGCTTTATAGATAGCTTTGTATAGTGGTCCATTGGACTTTAATTGTTGCAGCTTGGGCAAGAAGCTTTGAACCTTAGCACTTGATGGGAGTTGTCATTAATTGTAGGTGAGTGGCTGTTTGTCTGGAGTGAGGGCCAAGAGCAAAGGGGAAGGTCCTGAAGAAGGGCAAGAGCCTTCTTAGACCTCAGTGACAACATAAGGCCCTAGTACCCATCAAAAGCAGAACTGAGTGGCAGAGTTGTCAGCCATGTGAGTCCACCAAGTAATTCTTTGATAACATTGTTTATGCTCTTAATTTACTGAAACTGGAAAGTAAGGCACCCCAGAGGCTGGTATAGAACTAAGACATTTTCTGAGTCTGTCATGAAAGAATTTTGCCCAATCTGCTGCAAAGCAATTACTACAGAATCTCTAATTCTATTCAGGCACTTAGATCTTCTCTAACTGAAGCAAGAAATACTTAGGACTTAAATTTCACTGAATTTCTACTTCATAAGAGCAAGATAAATTAATTTGGACTTTAACTTATAAACTGATATCACTTTTTGGGTTTTGAAGTTTTCCTTGAGTTTATTCTAATTGCAAAGTCTCTATAATGTCTTTCCATAATTAGAATGTCTTAAAATTATTATTTAATCTCACTACAGGAAGGTTATGGCTGCATTATACTATTATACAACAGGCACATTATATTTTATAGTTTAATTAATGTATTATTCCAACACTTTTAAGAACCTTTGGAAAGCAGGGTTTATATAGCTCAAGAAGACACACTGAATGGTGGTGCTGTTTTGGGACAAGCTCAAGACGCAACTGAATGGACACATACTATTCTCGTTCCATGAGGTTGAACAAGGCTTCTGTGTAACTGTAGACATAACTGTTAAGCCCAGTGGGGAACAAATAGTGGTGGCAGGAACTAGAGTTAGGTGTGTTTTGGGCTATGCCTGATTTTTCTGTCCATAGGTTCATTCAACCCAAGGGAGGCAAAGGGACTTCCCTGTGGATAGGTTTGGGAAGGACAAAGAGGGCATGTTTGGCTCATCCTTTACAGGCTGTGCTATTTTTTAGGTCTGCTGGTGACCAGATGGGCACCTCTGTTTAATGCTGGGTTCAGTATTAGGAAGGCTCCTCCCTATGGCAACCAAATCTGTCCACACATACTTTGTTAATTATGAGGGCAGTATTTTTGTTCCCATCTCCTCTACTCATCTGTATTCTCAATAGTCATATGGGAAGGGAGGGCAGGTAATTTTTAATGGGTTGCCTCAGACAACTCCATTCCCCATTACCCTCAAATCAGACCTTGGGAGGCTCATTACATGGTGTCTGTCCCCATTGCTCCTCTATGATGCACATGCCCATCATGCCTTCAGCCTACCTTCAAGCTGCTCCTGGCCCTGGCTGGGGTTCTCTTCCTCTCTACTTCCTCCTTCAGGGCATGTCCCAGATGACCTCTTTGCTAGCCCTGGGGTGCTCCCAGTCTCGCTTGCACAGACATCCTTTTCCAGCTCATAAGAAGGGCAATTCCGTGTCCACCAGGTCAGATGAGCAAGCTGGAGGGAAAGGAAATGTTGCCTGGAGTCAGTGGCTAAGAAGCAAAGGCCTGCTGTAGGATAAGAGGCTTCCTTCATGTGATGCCATCAGAGCAATAGCAAGGAATGGAAGTCAGGTACCCAGATCTTGGCCCTTGCTGCCCTGTTCTTCTAATATGAGCCTTCTCTGAGCAGGCCTGTACTAGATGCTTGAATAGTACAGTACCTGGGTCAGCCACCTGCCCCAAACTCATGGAGCTCACAGAGAAATGAATCTGGATAAGGAGGCAGGTGCCTGATCAGGAAAATCTTTGAAGGTCAGGTGGAGGAGCTGAAACTTAAAAACCAGAAGCTCCTTGTAGTCCATGGAGAGTCACTGCAATCTTTAGACAAAGCAAAGGCTTTGTTCTGGGATTTTCAAAGATTTCTCAGTGAATTGAAGTGTCCAGCCTGGAGGCTGATGAAAAAGTGAAGCAAGAAATATTGAGCGCCTGAGGTAATGGAGAAGAGAGAGCAGCCTTTTTCTTTCTTTCTTTCTTTCCTTTCCTTCCTTCCTTCCTTCTTTCTTTTCCTTCTTTCTTTCCTTCCTTCCTTCCTCCCTCCCTCCCTTCCTTTCTTTCTTTTTCCTGTTTTGCAGTGCTGAGAATCAGACTCAAGGCCTTGTACATATTAGATAGGCAAACATTCTGCCACTGAGCCACGTCCTCATCCCTGGAGGGAGCAGTTCTTAAGGGATGTTACAGAGGTAAACTCTCCAGGGCATGATGACAGATTGAATGAGCTGGTGTGGGCAAAGGCTACTACAGCTCTCAGATTCCTGCTTTAGATGATCAGATTAGTGATGCTTCTCCAAGAATTGAGAACACAGAGTAAGAGTGGGTTTTGGTGCTGGTGAGAGAGAGTGAAAGAAAAGGAGAGATGATTCACAAATACAAATGTTATTCATGATGAACTTGAAGTGTCTATAAGACTTCCAAGTGGAGACATCCAGTAAGGAAAAATAATCCTTTTGTCCCTTGGATGGACCTGGTAGCTTTCCTTCTTCTCCCTTTTTTGGTGGCCCAGCAGACTGAAACACAGTGAGTTCTCTGGCTGATACCAGTGGTGGTGGAGTTAACCATGACTACCTGAGCTCTTTTCCAACAAAGTTCTTCTTCTGTTCAGGCAACCCTATGATACGTTGAGCCAGTTATCCCCTGTCCTGCTCTCAACTTTCTACTTTCCCCTGTGCTATGTAGGGCCAAGTGTGTTTTGCTATGGGATAAAAAAGCCTGGGTAGCTTCCTTGCTTGCATATATCTCTTAAACCTTACTTTATACTTACTCTGTATGTCAGTAGTAGCACACGGGACAGTGTCTCTATTTTTCACCAGGAGGTAGTTGGATTCGGGATTCAAATCTTTGGGGAGGGGATTTGACTAGAGATAGAATTGAGTGTCATCTTTATATAGGAAGTTGTTTGAATTCATAGCCCAATAATACTGTAGGGTGAGAGGGTTATAGGCCACAGATGGGTTTCTGAAGAAAAATTGTACTTAAGGGACAGAAAGAAAAACCCATGGAGAAGTCAGAGGAGTAGAAAACCAAACAAATAGCAGGGAAGGAAATGTATCATAGAAGTGAGTAAAAGAGCTGTAGGTTCAGGAAGTGAGTGGTCAGTGGTGTTTAATTCTCCACATGATTTACAAGGTAAATAGAGGGAAGCAGTCATTGATTACAGCAACAAAAAGTTATGTGTGACCTCAGTGACAGCATGTCGGTGGCATGCTGAGGACAAGAACCAGACTATAGCAGGTTGAGAGGAAGCAAGAGGTGGAACAGAATGGGAATAGGCACTGGTTTTGCAAAGGTTTGCTGTTGATGAGAGAAAAAGGAAGCAGCAATAACTAGAGGAGATCAAGATCTGGGGAAAGACTCTAAACTGGGATTGACTCCCTTCTAAGGAGGGAGAAGACGAAGGAGAAGCTGAGGACTCAGTAGCAGATCAGCTCTAGAGGGAGTCATGACAGGAGCCAGACTCCCTTGCTCATCTGTGACAGCCCTGCTTTCTTGGGGGAGTCAGTGAAACAGTGAAACCAAGGTTTGTAAATTCCAAAACACCATACAGCTGAGGGTGTTATTAGTGACTTCCACTCAAGGTTTCAGGTACTGACTTCTGGCACAGACTCTATTAGGGGTTGAATTGTGTCCTCTCGAGATTCATATGTCAAGGTCTTAATTCCCAGTACCTCAGAATGAAACTCAATTGAGGCACTCACTGAGTAATTCTGAATTGAATGAGTTATGCTTCACTTGAGAATTCATAGCCCAATGAACCCCACTCCCAGGGACATCTGTGTACCAGCAAGGGGAGACCATAACTCAGCAGGGTAAAACCCAGTGGTGGAATTCCAGGTATTAGGAGTAGGGGAACATATCTGGGGCATCAGCATGAGCATACCACTTGCCTTTTCCTCAGGGATGGGTGTTGTACAGAGGCTGATGATGACAATGACGATGGCAGTGAGCCCACAGAGGACAAGGGCAAAGTACAGGTAGTGAAAGTTCTTCAGAACCGCTGGCCTCCTGTCCACCTCCCCACAGGCTGGGGCCTGGTATGCAAACTCCAGGATCATGCGCAGCAGCCCCACTCCCAGGCCAAACATGAGGCCCCAGAAAGCCCCCTATGGAGAGAGGGCAGACATGGGTGGAGGTGAGATCCAGGATGGGGAAGAGGGGCCTAGGAAGCTAAGAGCCATTCTGCTCCTAAATCTCCTAGCCACTGGTTTACTTGTGTCTGGCAAGTCCATCATAGTGAGTCCCCTTAATACTGAACTCAAGCCTGTGTTCAAGAGGTGGGCAGAGCAGTGCTCAGAGCTTCACCAGGATTGAAATCAAGGCTCCATTTTGAATGGCTCTAAACTAATGATCTGGAGTTTTCTTAAATGCAATGAAAAGGGACATGGATAAGTATTAAGAAATAGATGCTTGATGTCTAAATAGAATGGGATATGCTTCTGTAATAAGCAAGGAGCACCAGGATCCTCTTTCCAACTTTCTATTAATGATAAATCAGAAATTCAGAAATAAGAACAGAGATTTCCCTTTTTTGTAAAAATGAAAGAAAGAAAGAAAGAAAATTAATGGGACCTCCCACTTATTAGAATTCCACTTGTCCTTAACCTTTACCTGTTCCCAGTATGTATGAGTCAGAGGATTTTTTAAATGAAATGCTGATCCTGACTTCAAAACTCCGGAATAAGCAGTAACACCCAGAATTCAACTGAGTCCGGCTGTGTGCCATGGTTATCAGCAAAATTAGACCTCTGCAAATAGTAGTCTTCTTGTTTAGATGGACCATCAAGGGAGGGGCTGCTCTGATGCCCTTTGTGATGTCCCTTAACACTCCAAAGTGCAGCCAGCAGGTTTAGGCCTGGCTCATCTATCCTAGGGAGTAGCCAGGGTTCTAGTCCTGATGTCTCTGGCTTCCTCCCAGACTTCTGTCAGATCTCAGTGCAGTTATACAAAAGATGCATGTGCAGCACCCTTGCAAGATCACACTTTGTCATCATCATTGTTAATATTGTCATTTGCTTACATATAGAATGTTACAAGTATTAGCAATGGAACAGAGCCTAGACATCTAGGTTGTCTTGCATTTTCACACACACTGTTCCTCCTGTCTAGATCACTCTTCCCCTCCCACTAATCCTTTAGGTCTCAGCTCAAATGTCACTTGCTCCAGGAAGTCTTTCCTGCCCTGCTCTCAGGAGTCCCATAGGTTAGAGTCTGAGCTCTTCACTCTCCCAACAGCCATTACCCTTTGTTATAATTACTTATTAAATCCTCTCTTTTCCCTGCTGCCCAGTGATGATGACCTTCATGAACACTGGAGCTTCCATATTTGGATTGATAAATGTTTGCTGAGAAAAGGATGAATCTAGACTTGATGCTATTATAAGGGAAGTGGAAGCCTAATGGGTGGCATGGATTTGCCCAAGGTCCCAGAGACTAAGTGACTGACACATATTTAGATCCTCTGCTATACTGTGTGGGGAATCAGGCACACTGTACTCACAGGCTCTGTGACCCTCTTGTAGAAGATGGCCAGCAGGAAGAGGGCAGTGATGGGTGGAGCCAGGTAGCTGGTGACAGACTGGATGTAGTCAAAAAGCTGCCCACTGTTGGAGCTCTGGATAATGGGGATCCAGAGGATGCTGATGACAACCAGGAACACCACAAACACCCTGCCGGGAAGAGCAAAGGGTGCTGTGAGGTGCATGCACCCTGGCATGTGTGGCATTGGGTTGGGTGAAGGTGATACACAGGGACCGGGAAGGGAGAGGAGAGGGTACATGGTTGCTAAGTCAGAGAGGGTTAGAAGATCAGAATCTCCAACACTAAGATGCAGAAATTGTCTGTTCAAATCCCAGAAATCAGGATTTCAGAGTTCAAGAAATCTAGAACTGTAAAACCTGAATCTTTATATATTGGATGACTTCAAGGACTATCCAAGGATAATTCCTATCTTCTACCCACCACCTACCCAATATAAGGCTTCTGTTTTCTGCTTAGGAGGCCTCTACTCCTCTTTCCAACCCAGCCCTGCACAATACAGCTCCCTTCTCTAGGATGGATACAGCCTTATAGTGGCATTGAGTTTAAGGCAAAGTCTCTACTTTTTCTCCTGAATTCTCCTCAGCTGATTCTCATTCAGACCTAAGTCCTCAAAGCACTCTTGTATGATTTTTTACTATGTGCTAGATGCAATAATTCACATAGCCAGCAGATGGCGCCAGAATCTCACTGAGTGATGAAATCGTGGCAGCAAACTAGGCATTTGGAGATAAGAGATACTTCTCGCAAAAAGTCTCTGCACACCTGTCCTCCCCTCTCCTTTCCCCCAAATTTTCCTCTTTCGGGTGGAACTTGAACTTGAGAAGTAGCTAACCAAATGACCTCTCTGCTCCTCACCCACCACATCTGTTCTAGTCTCACATCCCGCGATGGTCACTTCCTATGCCTATGGCTGGAGGTGCACAGTGGCACAGGTAATAGGACTCCTTTAGGGAAGAAGGCATCCAGGTAGAAGGAACAGTGAGTACAGAGCAATGCTCGTAAATAACGAGATATTAAAGTCCACATACCTACTCACTAAAGGAGAGAGAATATGTCCTTTAGGCCAGAAGCCAGTTAGGGAGTCTTAAATTATGTAGCAGATTTCAGAAAGGTACCCTTAATGTTATAAAATCTAACCCCAATCAATGAAATACAAGAACAATTGTCCACCAAGTTATGCTTTTAAAAGCATAAACTTGTATTACAAGGTAAAGTTCATATTCTATGGCGTGGTGTTCAATGCTGTGCATCATTTGGAGATGACTTTCCTTTGAACAGTTCTATGTTTTCACCCTTCTCCTTACTCACAGAGCACCTGGAGAGCAGGGCTGTATGACTCATTCTGGTGTCCCCAGCACAAAGGTATGGCACATGGTGGATGTTCAGGGTGAGTTTGAAGGTTTGGATTATTAGCATTCCTGTTACCCTGGGTTAACAGCTAGAGCTGATCCAAATACCACAGTGATGAGCTGTGTGCTGACATTGCTTCCACTTTCACACTTCACCTCTTATTGATTAAGAGCTTTGTCATCTCTCAATTACCCTGTTGGTCCATTCCAGGAGGAAGGGAAAAGATTTTTCTCACCATTGTTTTAGAAGAGTGATCTAGAGATGGAGAAGGGGGACTTACCCAAAGTCACACAGAAAGCCAGTTGTAGAACCCAGCACTCTGACTGTCGGCCTGGGATCTAAACCCAACTAATTGCATCTGGGTAACCCACAGCAGCAAAGAGGGAAGAGGGAAGAGGCCCTGTGGGGGAGAAGAGCTCTGCAGGATGGAAGGATGGACCAGCACACCTGCCCACCACCATCAGCTCTTGCTCTGTTGCTGTCCTGCGGAAGCGTTGCCACACATCAATGGCAAACAGGGTGCTACTGCTGTTGAAAATGGAGGTAAGTGAGCTCATGAGAGCCGCCATGATCACAGCAATCATCAGACCCCGAAGACCTGTGGAAAGAAGAGAGAAGAGGCCTAAGTAGACAGTTCTTAACAGCTTTGCCATGACCATGGAAGCTGTAGCAATGGGCAGGAGTGTGGGGTATGGATGTGATGGAGGAAGTTTGGGGAAGGTTCCTCTCCACCACAGATACAAAAGCAGGAGACCCACAAAGCTAGAGGCCAGACTCTGGCCCAGCTCTATCTCTACCTCATCTTATGGCCTCGGGTAACTCATCCGCCCTCCCTGAACCTCAGTTTCCTCAACTACTCCACACGGTGTATGAAGTAGATGATCTTTAAGGTTCTCTCAACCTGGGTTTCACACTATGGATAGAGGAAGATGATAATTAGTAACTTCTTTTGGGGGGCGTGATACTGGGCCTCACGCTTGCTAGGCAAGTAGGCAGGCACTGTACCATTTGAGTCACTCTACCAGCCCGTTTGTAACATTTAAAAGGGTTTTCTTTTTTTAAATATAAATATATCTTTTTGAAAGTGTTTTGTACCGCCCCCCTGTGGTGCCTGGACTAACCTCACAGCCCAGGAGGCAAAACCCTGGAGTTGATTCCTGGCTCAGCAAGTAACTAGATAGATGGATGATCTTTGAACTAAATGATTATTCTTTCTGGGCCTTTTTTTTTTTCCCTTAACAAAGAAAGGGTGAGATTGGCTGATACCTGAAGTTTCTCCGACTAATGATCAAGCTTTTGGAAATATGACTGTTCATCCCTGGGGAGACAACTCCAAGCCCTGGCCCCAGCTCAGGCCTCTTTCCCTCCAAATCCATGCATTTAACCACTTCATGGATGTCTCCCTGGAAGCCTCCTGGGCACCACTTAAGTGTCACCTTCTGGGTCCTGACATGCCCTTTGGTTAATTATGCTTTTCTGGTCCCCCCACCAGATTCCTGAGCATTATCTTAGGCCCTTCCTCAGCTCTCCTCCTTCCCTCTCCATTTTTGGCTGCTCTGCCACCATCCCCTCTGTATTTTGATTGGTTCTCACTTTACCAGAGGGAGGGGAAAACTCTACTCAGCCACTGTCTTTCATGTTCTCATCTCATATCAATGCAAGCCCACCTTCTAAAGACCAAAACCTGTAACCCTCTGACCCTTCTGTATTTTTTGTCCCTGAAATACAGTGCATCATCAGGTCCTGCCAATTCTACCTCACAAATATCTTTTTTTTTATTAGTGTATATTAATTGTACTAAGTGAGTGTGGTTTCACTGTGATATTTCCATATATTTATACAATGTACTTTGATCATATTCACCTCCTCTATGACTCTTTCTTATTCCTCCCCTCCTCTTCTTTTTATAACTTTTTAACAATTTTTAAAATTGGTTTCATTATAACCTCTTCAAATCTGCATATAATGTACTTCAGTCATGTTAACTCTCCCCATCTCTTTCCCCTCACAACTTCAGCTGATTCTTTCCCCAACAGTCCTCCCTTCTAGTTCATCACAAATATCTTTAAATGCCTTCTTCTATCTCTAAAGTCATTGACTTGGTCAAGCCACTAGCACCACTTCCTGGATTAGGATCAGTTGTCTCCCTGCCCTCCCCTGAGCCTGTTTCCATGATGAATCTTCCACACAAAGTGGTCCTTCTAAAACACAAATTTGTGCTGTGATCTGAATACCCCAAGTATCCTCCATTGCCCTTCGAGGAAATGCTACACTCTAGAATGAGGCTTAGTCTTGCCACCCCTCAGGAAATTTATCTTTATTCCTCCTTGCTACTGAGTCTACACTATGCTCCTCTAAGTTATGACCACACGCTGTCTCTCCTCTCCGTGGGCATTTGCACACGCAACTTCTAGAATGGTGTTTCCTATGCCTCCACCTCTGCCTAAGATATTTCTTGGGATGAAACTCCACTTCATCTCCTCTGGAAGACCTTCCTGACAGTCCCCAGACTGGGCCAGTGCCTCCAGAGCTCCCTCAGTCCTCACTGGGTTGCCACATGGATTACCTTACACTGCACCCTTGGTGAGTACAGGTCCCTGAAGATGACATAAGACCTGGGTGCACAGAGCAGGTACATTACAAATGCTTGGGGAAATGTGATTCTCTCTCTCTCTCTCTCTCTCTCTCTCTGTGTGTGTGTGTGTGTGTGTGTGTGCTGGGGAGGAATGCAGAGGTGGATCTTTTTCTTCCCTCTTCCCATCTTACTGGAAGGGTCACGGGAATTGGAGGAGGTGGGCAGGTGGGACTAGAGGGCGAGACGGGACTTACCTACAGGCATGAGAGCCATGACTAGCTTGGGGTAGGCAATGTTAGAACATCCCACTCGGGCCCCACAGACACTCTGGCAGACATTGGGGTCCACACAGCCCACCTCATCTGCAGAAGAAACAGCAATTGGAACTGTGTAATCCTATGCTTCATCAGGTTGGCCAATATCTACTTTCTGATACTATAGGAAAGAGTTAATTTGAGACTCTGAACTAGTCTAGAAGGTCAAGAGGTAAGCAGTGTCTTGCCTCTTGCAAATTTCTTTCCTATGTATTACACCACAATACTCGATAGACTCCTTTGGGTTTTAGGCCTTTTTCTTGATAAAGTCAAATATCCTTGGAAGGAGACCAGAAAGCCTTGTTTTTCACCCCTATGAATAGGAATCAGGATGTGAAAATGGCATTCAGATACAAATTTCTTCTATCGAAAAACTTATTAACTGTTTGGTTCACAGAGACTAAAATGCTTATTATGCAATTTTTGTTGTCGTTATTGTTACTGGGGTTTTAAACTCAGGGATTTGTGGGTGCTAGACAAGCGCTCTACTACTTGAGCCACACTCCCAAGCACCTCTCTTTTTGGAGGAGTTAGTTTATTTTTCAAGTAGGGAGTTCCATTTTTGCCTGGGCTTGCCTCAAACCATGATCCATATACCTCCACCATCTTCCAGGTAGCTGGGATTACAGGCATGCACCGCCTCACCTTGGCCTTTACTATGCGATCTTAACAGAAAATGCTTTCTGGCCCCTGCTTTCATCCACCTTGCCCATTTCTTTCTCTGGAAATACTTTGCAAGCCTGCAACCTAATGTCCAAAGAGCAAGACCAGCTTTTACCTGGGTACAGGGCCCGACTGATCATGCCAGGCATAATGATGAAAAACATAGGGAGGATCTTCAGGTAGCCTCCCAGCACGGAGCCTCCTTTGGCATGGGACAAATTCTTGGCAGAGAGAGACCTCTGCACAATGACCTGAAATGGCAGCAGTACAGGTATGCACAGGGAGTGGCTCAGATGAACCACAGGTGAGCCTTGAAACCAGTCACCGGCTATGCCCCTACAAAGTCCCCAAATGAGGTCCAACCCTCTATGAATCCAGAGGTCTGATTTGTCTACAACAACAGCCCCACTTACTGGTGTGCTAGGCCAAACCTTGCTGGAGCATTACCTGGTCTGTGCACCAACACCAGGTGGCTATCACTGTGAGTCCAAACATGAGACCAGGCCAAGGGATATCTCCATCCACAGGGTCCCGAAGCATGTGGAAGGCATCAGGCCGTGGGATGTGACAGGTGGTGTTGGGGACTGTGACGTTCGGGATGGCTTGCCTGTACCGCTCCTGCAGGCCTGGATACCAGCCCACTTCCTGAAAGCCTATTGGGAGAGACACAGTGAGAGAAAGAGCCCTGGGACCCCACTGAGGCTGTGCTCCAAGTTCCCGGTCCCATGTAAATCCCTGGACTGGAACTGACATGAAGATTGGGAATAGGGGAGACAGATGGAGTTCAACACCCATGGTTTGGGTCTTGCTTTTTGGGAGCCTTGGCCTAGAGAAGAGACATGACTGTGCTCTGGAAAGTTCCAGGTGAGCCATGGAGGTGACAAAGACAGATCAGATCAGAAAAGAATTTACAAGTGACAGAGAGGTGTATTTAGGCCACTTTCTTACCTAGAAACATAAGGACCAGGGCTCCACCCACCATGATCACTGTCTGCAGAGCATCAGTGTAGATCACAGCTGTGAGTCCCCCTGGGGATCCAAGGAGAGGGTACATCAGTCAGCATCAACAGGGGAGTCCTTTCTGGGTGCCCACCCTGTGCTTGGCTACCCTGGGGAGACCAGAGAAGACACACAGCTGTCTTAGCATTAGGCTCTGGCACCAACATTTCTCCTCCATCCAGCCCTCAGAGGGTGGAAGCTGGTCATGATCCAAGGTGCTCAGATGTAGCTCTTTCTGTCCGTGACAGTGTCTGACTGGGGACATCATGCCATAGTTTTATATTGGTGGTATTACTATTCCAAGTCCATTCCTTTGCCTATGCTGTTGGCTCTACCAAGAATGTTCTTTTCTTTCCCCTCTCGAAACCCATTAAAATACCCCCCCATCCTTCAAGGCCAACTTAGCCATGAGTAAGTTTGTCCTGGGTTCTCAGGCCTGTGGAGGTGCTTTGGAAGAAACATGAGAGAGAGAGAGTGGGTCTGTGGGCTTTGTTGTGGCAGCTCATGATGACTCTGGTCCAAACAGTAGTCCCCTGCTCCCTGATGCAGCTGGTCTTCGGCAGTACCTCTTAGTGATTCTCCTTCCCTGCCTATTTCTGGCTCTGTTTCCCCATTTCTTCCCTTTCCATCATTCTTTTCTCTGTCCTACAGTGTCTTTCAGTCTGTTTCCCTGTCTGTTTCTCTTATCCTACATCTCTGTCTTGGCCCCTCTTTGTCTCTCTGTTTCTCCCTCTCCCTCAGGATCAGTCCTGTGTGTCCCTCTGACCCTCTCTCTGTCTGTTTCTTTACAGACATTAGTCTATTTTACATTAGTCTATTTTTTCTTTGTCTCTATCAGTTGAAGATTCCTTCTCCACCTCTCTGTCTCTGCACAGCAATGGGAACGTCCCTCTGCCTTACCTGCAATGGTATAGACAGCAGTCACCACTAGCAGGATCACTGTGGAGAGATAGAGGTTCCAGCCCAAGGCCATTTGGATGAAGAGGGCTCCAGAGAAGATGTCAGTCTGCAAAGAGCCATGACCTATGAGTCCAGGCCGCTGAAGGATCTCAACACAGCTGCTATGGGTGGGTCACTTACATGCTTAGCAAACTAGGTGCCTTCAGCCTTCATCACCTAATGAAGACGAACCTAGAGTGCCACACTAAGGAACATGGGCTTGACTTTCAAGACACTTTAAAGCAAAGGAGTACTGCATAAAGCTTTGAAGCTAAGGAAAATTTAATCAGGTTGTGGCCATGAAGGCATGGTGAGAAATGAAGTAGAAGATTGAGTTGGTGAAGGTGGGACCTGGGCATGCATGGAATGGAGAACAGTTGGGAGAAGAGATTAAGAACTCAGCAGGTTGTTGACTGCATCTTGACACAGCAGAGGCCAACTTGGCTGCTCACTGGGCCCACCACAGACCCAATGTGACAAGAGCTGTAGTGCAGGTAACCATGAGTTTGAAATAATCCACATGCTTGAGTTTATAAGAGGACTTGTGAGTACAGTCTTTGCTTAAGCTGACAGGGCTGATGGAAGAAGAGGCATTACAGTTTTTTAGTCTTAGAACTGGCAACTGAATGGTGAAGTTCCCTTTGGTCTAAGCTTATTGATCATATTCCATGACTGTTTTATCATAGTGTGGAAGAGACCTGGACTGGGTTGTGGAATTCAGAATTGAGCTCTAATTCCATAACTAGCCCTTTGTGTGGATTTGGGCAGTCATTTGACCTGTCTCAGTTTGTTTTCTGAGTTTAGGTCAATAAACAATAAGGACCATTCTAACTCTAGCATGCTAGGTAATTAATAACCATTTGCCAAAAGAAGAATCAATTAATGAAATGATAAATGCATGAAAAAAACTCAAGATTGTGAGTTCTTCAGCTGTCATTCAGTTAAAGTTTATCATTCATCTTTGATTACCCCACTGTTGAGAGGGAGCATGCCTCCAAGGCATTTGCATTTATCCTCCATTTCTTCTATCCTTTTTTCCTTCTCTCTATCTTCCTTCTGTTCCCTCCCTCCTTCCCTCCCTCCCTTCCTTCCTTCCCTTCTATTCAATCTGTGATTATCAGCTTCCTCTCAGCCTCAAGCCCATTGTAAGCTGGGCACATTAGAGAGGTACCCACCGATATCTTGGTGAAGATGTAGAGGATGAGAGATAGGATAGATATGTACACCTGGATCCTCTGACCCCCAAATCGCTTCTTCAGGTACTGCGGCATCGTGACCACACCAGCTGCGATGTAGACTGGGACAAAGATCCAGCCCAGAGCCAGGAGCAGGAAGGTTGCCTTGGAAGGTAAAGAGAAGAAGGCGTCCAGAGCATAGATGAAGATGGAGGAGTATCCTCCTACCCCGAGGCAGAGAGTGCTGTGGGGTAGCCCTGAGCATGGAGGTAAGGAACCTGGGGCCTGATACCAATCTTTCTGGCTGACCTCAGATAAGTCCCTTTGCCTTCTCCAGACCTTGGCTTCCTCTTCTGTAAAATGGGTTCTTGATTCGCCATGCAGCCTCCCAAAACACCTCTAATATTTCTCTCAGTCCTAAAGCCAGGGATGGGGGGTGAGTTCAACCCTCATTATCCTGGAGCAACCACATCAGCTTCCTTACATTCCACTCGAAGCCACCCACTGCAAGGCCTCCAGCAGCCCCTGTCCCAGCCAGGCCAATGAACAAACCGCTGCCTACATTGCTGGACATCAGAGATGCTCCAATCTGAAAGGCATAAGAGGGGTAAAGGGTCAGGGGTTAATCTGATAAATTAGGATCACAAGCCTTGAGGAGGAAGCAAGGAGCTGACATTTGTTGAATACTGCATAAGAAACTTTATATGTCAAGTACATTTAATCTCCACAAGTATCTAGAGAGCAGGGTAGTAACCTTCCCAGTTTGCACAGAAAAGAACTAATGTTAGAAGCAATGAAGTCAGAGACTATAGGTCACTCAGTGAGTAAGTGGCAAAGTGGGAAAGAAGGGAAGCCATTGGAAGCAGGCCCACATAGGAAAGATAAAGCTCTGTACCGAGACCATCAACTAAAAGGCCCCAGAAAGGAAGAAGCTGAAAGAGCCAGGGGAAGCTCACAGAGAGCCTTCCCACTGCTTTAGTTTCTGTAGCATCCAGAGAAGGCCAGTTTGTGGCAGGAGCTAAGAGGCTCAGGACAGGCCAGGTCAGCATCCGAGGTGAGTTCATTTTTCTCTAGAAGGGCAGCCAATTCTTCTAAGGCAGTAGAAGGCAATAATAATGGTAATGATAATGATAATAACCATAGCAACTGGTGCATATACATTACCAAGCACCAGGAAATGTTCTGTATACAGTAATTCATTAGATCCTCATGAGGCAGGAGCTGTTATCACTGTGATTTAGATAAATATTCCCCCAAATGCCTGGTCTCCAGCCCACTGTACTACATAGAGGTGGTGGAACCTCTTAGGTCACTGGGGGTGCACTCTGGAAGAGAAAGACCCTGGTCTTTTCCTCTTTGTCTTTTGATGGTTAGTAATGATGGGAACAGTTCTGACATATGTTCCCTGCTATGATGTGCTGCCTGACCACAGGCTCAAAAGCAGTGGTCAATCAATGGTGGACTGAAACCTCCACAACTGTGATCCAAAATAAACCTTTCCCTTGTATAAATTGATTATCTCAGACATTTGTTACAGGAACAGAAAGCTGACTAATGTAATTATTATATCCATTTTACTGATGAGGGAACTGAGACACAGATAAGTAACTTGTCTAATCTCAGAATTAATAAGTGATCAAATGAACATTCAAACTCTGGCTGTCTGGCTCCCACAGCCACTACACAAATGGTACTTGGCACCAAATAAGCACTTGTCAAATATTATCTCTTATTAGTAGATAGGATTCATGACTGGAGGGGCAGAGAGAAAGGATCTTGATGAGAGGAAGCCTGGGGCCACCTTAGGGACAGAACTGGAGGCTGGAGGAAGAGCTGTCCTCCAGTTTTGTATCCTGTATCACCTTAATAAAATCACTTCTGCTCAAAAGTCTCAGCTTCTTCACCTTTAAAAATCTTGGGATTTACCTGCTCTTAAGTTCTTGTTCTTCTAGGGGATGTTGTGAAAGAGGAAGTGATAAGGGAAAAGCATTGAGAAATTCAGAAAAGTGGCAACAGAGCAGTGTAAAGAAATGGGAAAAAGAGGCCTGGCATTGCTGACATCCTTGTGCTACCCTGCACATATATGAATGTGTGCATGTGTGTGTGTAGCCTCATGCACACACACACATGCACACATTCATGTATATATTCACACATGTACTCTCACCCACTCTCACACATGTGCACACATATTTTGAACACATACATGCACTTACATGCAATCACACTTTCTCAACCATTCACACATTCACTCACACAGTCACTCTCACTCTCTTGGGTAGCCCAGGGGTGATGGCAGGACTTGGCTGGACAAACCTTGCCAGACCAGAGAGCGTGGACCTCCTGCTTCAGAAGAAGAAGACTCCATCTGGAGCAGTAAGGGATGTTAACCTTATCTGTCCAGGGTTGCTGGCTCCCAACTCAAAGACATAGAAAAAGTCAGTGAGAAGACCAGGGGAAGAGGACCACTCAGGGCTCTCTGGAGAGGGATGGCTGCTGCTCCTTCTCTTCTCAGCCTCCCAGCAACACATTCTCCACAGAACACAGTCTCAGGACTGGACAGTCACCCCGGCAAATAGCTGCAGCAGTGCTAGACTGAGCTTCCCATACCTGGGCCTGGTTGTAAGTGCAGCCTCAGGCTGGACACATGATGGTGCAGGAGGAACAGCTCTCAACGCAGACCCACCAAAGGGTAGGCGTGCATCCTCTTTTCCCCATGGATTTTCACAGTGAGTTTGGGGTACAGAAACCTGGCAGGTCCTCCAGGGCACTCTCTTTCTGCTCACAGGCCTGGGGTTTCCTCACATACACAGTGGGACCCAGAGCTCTGCCATCTGCAGGCTGAATTGACAGTCAGATGGGTCCCTGGCATTCTTCTGAACCAGCCAAAGGAGCTTGCTCTGTCCTGCTTCTTTCTCCTCACTCTGAATCATTTCCAGGGCTGTGGTTTTGGGGTGCTGAAAGGAAAAACTATTCCCAAGGGCTTTTCTTTCTTCTGATGAAAATGTGGCTGGTAGCACCAGTGACCTGGGGATTCTAGCATGCTGCACATCCCAGAGCTCACCGTCCCTAGTTCCCTCTAGTTCTTCCTGTCCCAGACACACGAACCTTCCAGAAAGCTCTGGAGGCCACCGAGTTTCCTCTGCTCTTCAGAGAACCTAAGCAGTGTGGAGGTAAGGAGATGACTGGTGTTATGATTGTGAATGAATGTCTGAATGTGAGAGTGTGTGAGTGAGTGGGTGAATGTATGGGTGTGAGACTGAGTGGGAGAGTATGAATGTATCATGACTGTGAGTGAATGAGTGTGTGTAACTGCAAGAGTGTGAATGTGTGAGCACATGATTGTGAGTGTGACAGAATGTGACCTGTGTGAAAGTATGAGTGTGAGTGAGCATGAGTGTGAATGAAAGTGTGAGTGTGTGCGTGAATGTAGAACTAGAAGAGCACATGTGTATGAGAGAATGTGTGAGAATGCATATGGGTGTGTGAGTGTCAGTATGAGAATTCATGATTGTTAGACTACAAATGTAAGTGTGTATGAGTTCAGGCACATGAGCTTAAGCGTATGTGTGATGGTGTGAGTGTGAGATTATAAGAGTGTGCAAGTGTGATTGTGAGAGTGTGTGAGTGCACATACAAGAGTTAGGATGTGTGGATTAGTGTGTGAGAGTTTGGCTGCATGGTATGTTACAGCTTCAGTTACCACTGGAGCCAACAACACCATTACTAGTGTTCTAGGCCTCCTTCCATCCCATTTGGGGAGTAGAAAGTTAGCTTTAAACACTGATAGAAATGTAGGCTGGTCTGATGAGAGAAATTGGGGTTCACAGAAGTTTGGTGTGGGTTTCTTGAGTAGCTAGAGAGTTTTACCTTTGATTCTCCTCACTTGACTGCTCTTCATACTAAGAATAAGTGTCACCTTCTTAAGGAAATCTTTTCTATTATTCAGACCCCACTGGATGAGGCTCAGGGACTTCCTACAAGCTAGCCCAAGCCCCCAATTTTCCCTTGTCTCAACTTAGACCTTGTGTTCCCTCTGCCCAACTCAATTCTGAGCTTCTCTAGAACAGTGATGTTTCAGATATATTTCTGAAGGTGGTGGCTTGTGTGGCCCCTTGTGTGGGGTTCACACAAGGAGGTGCTGAAGGGTGCTGTGAGGTGAACAAGGCCACTTGGGTTGCTGGGTGGACTGGTGCAGAAGAGGAATCTGCAGTTGAAAACCCACATGGGAGGACGGTGCCTTGGTCCAGACAAGAGAAGATGAGAGGAAGGCATGGGTGTTGAGGGGAGGAGGAGAGCTAAGGGCATCTACACTAGGAGGGGAAGGGGAAGGTCAACTCACTGGCCACCAGCTCATGGACTTTCCTGCCAGGAAATAGCCACCAATGGTCCCCCGGCTTGCACGAATGGATGACTGGAAAGGAAATGGCAAGAGATTAGGACTTTCTGAGCCTAGATTCTCTGCCTTTCTGTGCAGGCACTGTGGGGATGTAGAGGGTGAGGACTTGGCAGGGCAGAGATGCCCTTGTGCTGGTAGTTTCCCCATTTTTAAGTTATGGGTCTGTGGATGGTCACTTCCACTCTGTGAGCTTAAATACCCATCCCCCAGGGCTGGTATGAACAGCAAAAGAGGTAAATGGTGTACAAGGCCTTTGCAAATGGCAAAGTTCTGTGCAAGTCTTCCAGATGGTGAACACTGTCCCCTTATCCCCATTTTCCTTCCCCCACACCCCATCTGCTTTCAGGAGCTGGTTTGGAATCTGTCTCAGGTGCATAGTGTCTACTTCTCCCTTAGCTAGCCTATCCCTTCCTTGCAACCAGGTTCCTAGGACTGAGAGTTTGGTTACTCTGACTGTGGGACTGTGGACCCAGGGCAGGAATGAGGGGCTTTGTTTGGGGATTTCCCCTTGATCTGGCTTGTGGTAAGTCCACACAATTGAGCCCTATCCAAGGCTCTGGAAGGAACCAAAAGGTGGTCAGTCAATGGCCTGTTTGGGAAGTGCTCTGGGAATGAAGTAAAGAGAGGAGTACAAAAGTTTTCTCTGAGGACATGGGGTGAGGGTTGGCAGTGGCTACTGAGGATGAACTCAAAGCAATTATGCCAACTTGGAAGGCAATAGCTCTCTGACTGTGTCGGGATAGGGGAGATCCTTGAAGGGAAGGAAGAAAAATGGGAAAGCCATTAGTCATAGGGAGTGACATGCATGTACTTGTTAAGCTTTTGCTTGAACTTTCCTATATTAATTCTAATCCTGTGGAGGCCAAAGAAGCAACACAAATTCATTTCATACATGAGGAAGTTTGAGCACGTACTCTTCATGTTGGCCACCTGACCACCTGACTACTCTCTTCTTCCTTGTACCATCCCTGTGTGCATCTATCAGCTCTTTATTATTACTTTTGCTTACATGGGAGGGACGTGAGGCCCAAAGAGGGTTCTTGACCTAGCCACAGTCTAGGAAGTAACCAGCCAAGACTGGGTCATAGTCTGCCTTGCAGCTGTCTGAAGGTGCTGGCATTTCTGCAGAATGCTGTGGTGACAGCAGCAGCTGTTTATTGCCTGCCACCTACGTGCCAGGCACTGCGCCAAGTGCTTACAGTCACGATCACAACTTCCCACAGTGTCACCCTTACTCTCCATGTCCACATGAGAAAACAGGCTCAGAGAGTCTTCTGCATTGCTAGAGCTATGTGGCTCTGACTGTTGGAGCTGGGATCTGAGCTCAGGGCTCCTAGTCCTCAAAGCCTGGCACCTGCCCATAGCACCACGGTTCCTGTGAACAATAGGGAGCAAGGGCCCTTGAAATCTGCCTGGAGCATTCTCTGAGAGCACATGACCTCCAGGTCTCTAGTTGGCTGTTGGTCCAGCTTCCTTCAATTTCGAGTCTCGAGGTGGTGAAAAGAGTGGGAATAGGGCACAGGATGGCAGGGATGGATGGGACCCAAAGTGGCAGATGAGTAGAGACAGGGAGTTTGGAGTCAAGATCCAGGCCTAGACTATCTCTGGCTTCCTATATGGTATCATGGCTACAGTCTGGCCTTCTATGGAAGGAGGACTGTGGTTCTATGATTTGCTTCCTTCTTCCCACCCTTGCTCAAGTTCTAGACAGGAGGTGCCTCTGCCTCCCTGTCTGGCCCAGGCCTCAGGCCCCACTTACCCAAATTCCCACAGCAATAACGAAGACAAAGTAGATGATCACTACCACAATGTCATAGGTGTGCAGGCTGACTCCTGAGTCCAGTGTTGAGTGTGGTGCTGTCTCAGTTTTGATCCCATCCCCTGAGGCTCCAGGCTCCATTGCTGCTGGCTCCTTGCTCATCTGTGTCTGTTCCCAGCAGGATGGACTTTGAGGTGCTTTCCTTTAATGATTAAACAGCCCCAAACACCATTAGCCTTTGAGAAATCTCTGCACCCTGCTGGCATGTAATATCCTGCCCACTTTTCTCCTAACTGCCTTCCTCTCTCCCGCTCTTTCCCTGCTTCCACTGCACATACATGCCCAAACAGGCACACACATGTACATAAACATACACACACAGGTAGCCCCTCTGCCCTTGAAGGAGCAGGAAGAAGACTGGAGCAGAGTGTTTGATACTTAGAGGTGGAAAGAACTTCAGAGATCAAGGTGCTCGAAGTCCTATTGTGTGGAGGGAAAACTGAGGCCTGGGGAAGTAAAGGTGGTGCTGGTACTGGAAAACAGGTTTCTAAATCTTACACCTAGTAGTAGGAGATGAAGGAAGAGAGGGAAAGAGGCTACCAACACCCTTGCAAAGTGACCACTGCCTCCCACACTCCCACCTCCAACTCAGAGAGATATCATGTTCCCTTTTTTACAGTGAAGGAAACTGAGGCTCAGGAAGAGACAAAGGTGTATTCCAAGAAGCAGAGCAGAACTATCTATGAGAAGGTAGGGACATAGTCATATCTTCTGATGCCTGGTCCTCACTTTCTCTCCTGTGCTGTGACAGATGGAATGGGTGAGGTCAAGAGGGCCTCTCCAAAAAGGGCACACAGTGCCCTGGGCCCAGGGAAGTCTATCTTCTAGCACACAGGCAGCCCGGCTTACAGTACCAGCTGTACCTTTCACCAAACTACTCATGTCTTTGTGCACGTTGTTGAATGTCTCTGAGCCTGGTGTCTTCACCAATGTAATGTGTGCCCTACCTGCCTCACAGCCCCCGAGAGGATAAGAAAAGACGCTCAGGAAGCCACAGGAGAGAAGTTGACCAGGGTCTGATTCACACTTGAGACATGGAGAAGGCAGGAGCCTGGGCTGACTTGATTTTCTAGTGTATAGGTTAGCCTATATCCTAGAGTTGGGTGAAGATTTTTATAAGTGACTTTTTTGTGGGTATCTATTTGTGGACTTGATGTATGGTTCTTCTTAGATGCTGTTCTACAGGCTACCACAAGGGGTATTGGGCCACAGCTAACAGAATCTGAAGTAAACATTGAATTCCCAAAGCTGTGGAAAAGCTGAAGTGGCAATGGGTCAGGGATGTGGTACTCAGTTCAGGGTGCACAGGAAAGATTCCAAACATTCCACATAAGCATCCATGGGAGGAGTGCATCAGCTTCTATCTGCATCAGCTTTACAGCTCTTGGATAGACCTACTCAAGTCAAACCTTTCCTGCCACTATAAAATTTCTTTTTTTTAACTTTATTTTATTGTTTTCACATTTACTTACATATGTATACATTATTTGGGACACCTGCCCCCACCCTGCCTCCGGGCAGAACCTGTTACACCCTCTTGTTCTCTGATTTTGTTGAAGAAAATACATATAAGATAAAAAAGAAAAACATACTATTTTTGCCAGTTTGAGATGAAGATAGCTATACAGGGGGATTCCTTGTGTTGTTTCCATGCATAGGTATATTGGTTGATCTGTACCAGACCTCTTCACTATTTCCTAGTCCTCTTTCCATTGCCAGTCTAAGATTATTATACTTGCTACTATACAGTGATTATTATATTTGCTACTATACTATCAACCACATTCAAGTTTTTGGTTTCCTTCCCTTTCCCTATCCCTACCATGCACAGTTTCCCCTTAGTGTGTGACCCATGTCCAATAATAATACTGCATTTGTTTTAGGTCTATAATCCACATATGAGGGAGAACATGCAATTTTTGGCCTTCTGAGCCTAACTTTGCTTAAAATGATGTTGTCCAGTTCCACCCATTTTCCTGAGAATGACAAAATTTCATTCTTTTTTGTGGCTGCATAAAATTCCATTTTGTATAAACACCACATTTTCTTAATCCATTCATTGGTACTTGGGCATCTTGGCTGTTTCCATAGCTTGGCTATTGTGAATAGTGCTGCAATAAACATGGGCGTGCAGGTGCCTTTCTAGTAACCTGAGTCACAATTCTTTGGATATATCACTAGGAGTGGTATTGCTGGATCACATGGCAGACCTATTTTTCGTTTTGTAAGAAGCTTCCATATTGTTTTCAATAGTGGTTGTACTAGCTTACATTCCTATTAACAGTGTATGAGGGTTCCTTTCCCCACATCTTCACCAACACTTGTTGTTGGTGTTCTTGAGTAGCAATTCTAACAGGAGTGAGGTGGAATCTTAGTGTAGTACTGATTTCCATTTCCTTTATGGCCAGGGATGGTAAGCATTTTTTTCATGTGTTTTTCGGTCATTTGTACTTCTTCCTTTGAAAGAGTTTGGTTTAGTTCAGTTGCCCACTTCTTTGTTGTTTCATTGATTTTGGGGGAGTTTCATTTTTTGAGCTCTGTGTATATTCTGGTTATCAGTCCTTTGATGTATACCTAGCAAAGATTTTCTCCAATTCTGTGGATGGTCTCTTCAGTTTAGAGAACATTTCTTTTGTTGTACAGAAGCTTTTAATTTCATGCAGTCCCATTTTTCAATCCTTTCTCTTAGTTGCTGGGCTGCTAGAGTTCTACTGAGGAAGTCGTTGCCTATACCTATTGCTTCCAGGGTATTCCCTGCTCTTTTCTATATTAACTTCAAGATTTTGGGTCTGATATTAAGGTCCTTAATCCACTTTGAGTTGAAACAAGGTGACACACGTGGATCTACTTTCAGTTTTCTGCAGGTGGATAACCACTTTCCCAGCAACATTTGTTGAAGAGGCTCTCTTTTCTCCATCATATGTTTTTGGCACCTTTGTCAAAAATTATGTGGATGTAACCAAGTGGATTCATATCTGGCTCCTCTAATCCATTCTACTGGTGTTCATATTTGTTTGTTTGCAGTACCATACTGTTTTTATTGCTGTGGCTCTGTAGTATAGTTTGAAGTCGGGTATTGTGATACCTCCAACATTGCTCTTTTTGCTCAGTATTGCCTTGGCTATTCATGGACTTTTGTGTTTCTAAATAACTTTAAGGTAGATTTTTCAATCTCTGTGATGAACGTCATTAGGATTTTAATGGGAATTACAATGAACATGTAGATTGCATTGGTAGTATAGCCATTTTTACTATGTTGATTCTGCCAATCCATGAACATGGGAGATCTTTCCACATTCTGTAGTCTTCTTCGATCTCTTTCTTCACTAGTTTTTAGTTCTCCTTGTTAAGTTTATTCCCAAGTATTTGATGTTTTCTTGAGGCTATTGTATATGGAATTATTTTCCTAAATTCTTGTTGGCTACTGATTTTTTTAAGTTGATTTTGTATCTTGCTACTTTGCTGAAGCTGTTTATGGTGTCTAGGAGTTTTGGGGTGGAGTTTTTGGGTCTTTAATGTACAAGATCATGTCATCTGTGAATAGGGAAAGCTTACTTCTTTACCTATTTGTATTCCTTTTATTTCTTCTTCTTGCCTTATTGCTCTGGCTAGGAATTCCAAAACTATGTTGAATAGGAGTGGGGAGAATGGGAACCCTTGTCTTGTGCCTGACTTTAGAGGAAATCGTTTCAGTTTTTTCCCTTTAACTATGATGTTGGCTATAGGTTCATCATATATAGCCTTTATAATATTGAGGTTCATTCCTTCTATTCCTTGTTTCCTTAGAATTTTTATCATGAAATGGTGTTGAAACTTATTGAGGGCTTTTTCTGTGTCTATTGACATGACCAAGTGACTTTTGTCTTTGCTTCTATTGATGTGCTATATTACATTTAGTGATTTGTATATGTTGAACTATTCCTCCATCCCTGTGATGAAGCCGACTTGGTCATGATGAATGATCTTTCTGATATGTTGCTGGATTCGGTTTGCCATTATTTTATTGAGGATTTTTGCATCAATGTTCATTAGGGAGATTGGCCTGTAGTTCTCCTTTTTGAATGTGTCCTTGTCCGGTTTTGCGATGAGTGTAATACTGGTTTTATAAAATGAGTTAGGCAATGTTCCTTCCCTTTCTATTTCATGGAAAGTTTAAGGAGAGTTGCTATTAGTCCTTCTTTAAAGGTCTGGTAGAATTCAGCAGAAATTCCATCAGGTCATTGCATGTTATAGATCTGTTTAGGTGGTTAAGATCTTCTTGGTTCAGTTTTGGACGGTTATAAGTATCTAGAAATTTTTCCGTTTCTTCAAGATTTTCCAATTTATTTGAATGTAGGTTCTCAAAGTAGTCCCTGATGATTCCCCGGATTTCCTTGTTGTTTATTGTTATCTCCCCATTTTTGTTTCTGATTTTACTAATTTGGGTCTTTCCCCTTCTCATTTCAGTCAGACTTGCCAGGGGCTTGTCAATCTTGTTTATTTTTTCAAAGAATCAGATTTTTGTTTCATTGATTCTCTGTATTTTTTTTTTCGTTTCCATTTCATTAATTGTGGCCCTTATTTTTATTGTTTTTCTCCTTCTGCTTGTTTTTGTTTTTCTAGGAGTTTGAGATGTAGCATTAGGTCATTTATTTGAGGTCTTTCTGTCTTTTTAATATATGCACTTATGGCTATAAACTTTGCTCTTAGGACTGCCTTTGCTTTGTCCCATATGTTCTTATAGGTTGTGCTTTCATTTCCTTAAATTCCAGGAACTTTTTGATTTCCTCTCTTATTTCTTCTATGACCCACTGATCATCAAGCATTGTGTTGTTCATCCTCCAGTTGTTTGTGTGTTTTCTGCTGCTGCTTTTTTTGTTGAGTTCTAGTTTTATTGCATTGTGGTCAGATAGAATGCAGTGGTTATTTCAACTTTCTTATATATTTATTGAGACTTGATTTGTGCCCTAAGATATGGTGTATTTTGGAGAAAGGTCCATGGGCTGCTGAGAAGATTGTATATTGTGTTGGTGCTGTATGAACTATTCTGTAGAAATCACTTAGGACCATTTGATCTATGGTGTCATTTAGGTCTAGGATTTCTTTGTTGATTTTTTGTCTGA